ATCCGTAGACTGGAGAGTCAGGGGGTGATCAGCAGGACCCGCTCACCCTTCAATAGCCCCATATGGCCAGTGCGAAAGTCTAATGGAGAATGGAGACTAACAGTAGACTATCGTGGCCTGAATGAAGTCACACCACCATTGAGTGCTGCCGTACCGGACATGCTAGAACTTCAGTATGAACTAGAGTCAAAAGCAGCCAAGTGGTATGCCACGATTGATATTGCCAATGCATTTTTCTCCATTCCTTTGGCAGCAGAGTGCAGGCCACAGTTTGCTTTTACTTGGAGGGGTGTCCAGTTCACTTGGAACCGACTGCCCCAGGGGTGGAAACACAGCCCTACCATTTGCCATGGACTGATCCAGACTGCACTGGAACAGGGGCAAGCTCCAGAACACCTGCAATACATTGATGACATTATTGTGTGGGGCGATACAGCGGAAGAAGTCTTTGAGAAAGGGAGGAAAATAATCCAAATCCTGCTGAAAGCCGGTTTTGCCATAAAACGGAGTAAGGTCAAGGGACCTGCACAGGAGATACAATTTTTGGGAATAAAATGGCAAGATGGACGTAGACAGATCCCCACAGATGTGATCAACAAGATAACAGCAATGTCTCCACCAACTAATAAGAAAGAAACGCAAGCTTTCTTGGGTGCAGTGGGGTTCTGGAGAATGCACATCCCAAATTACAGTTCGATTGTAAGCCCTCTCTATCATGTGACCCGGAAGAAGAATGATTTTAAATGGGGCCCTGAGCAGCAACAAGCCTTTGAGCAAATTAAACGCGAGATAGTTCATGCAGTAGCCCTTGGACCAGTCCGAACCGGACCAGATGTAAAAAATGTGCTGTACACTGCAGCTGGGGAGAACGGTCCTACCTGGAGCCTCTGGCAGAAAGCTCCAGGGGAGACTCGAGGTCGACCCCTCGGCTTTTGGAGTCGGGGATACAAAGGATCTGAGGCCAGCTATACCCCAACTGAGAAAGAGATACTGGCAGCCTATGAAGGGGTTCGAGCTGCTTCGGAAGTGATTGGCACTGAAGCACAGCTCCTCCTGGCACCCCGGCTGCCCGTGCTGGGCTGGATGTTCAAAGGCAGGGTCTCCTCTACACATCATGCAACTGATGCTACATGGAGTAAATGGGCTGCACTAATTACACAACGAACTCGAATAGGAAATCCCAGTCGTCCAGGCATTCTAGAAGTCATCATGGACTGGCCAGAGGGCAAAGATTTCGGAATGTCACCAGAGGAGGAGGTGGTGCGTGCTGAAGAGGCCCCACCATATAATAAACTGTCAGAAAGTGAAAAGCAGTATGCCTTGTTTACTGATGGCTCTTGCCGTATTGTGGGAAAGCATCGGAGATGGAAGGCAGCTGTATGGAGTCCTGGACGACAAGTTGCAGAAACTGCTGAAGGAGAGGGTGAATCGAGTCAATTTGCCGAGGTGAAAGCCATCCAGCTGGCCCTGGACATTGCTGAACGAGAAAAGTGGCCAGTACTTTATCTCTATACTGACTCATGGATGGTGGCAAATGCCCTGTGGGGGTGGTTGAAGCAATGGAAGCAGAGCAACTGGCAACGCAGAGGTAAACCCATCTGGGCTGCTGCACTGTGGAAAGATATTGCTGCCAGGGTGCAGAACCTGGTGGTGAAGGTACGTCATGTAGATGCCCATGTACCCAAGAGTCGGGCCACTGAGGAACACCAGAACAACCAACAAGTGGATAAAGCGGCTAAGATTGAAGTGGCTCAGATGGACTTAGATTGGCAACATAAAGGTGAATTATTTTTGGCCCGGTGGGCCCATGACACTTCAGGCCATCAGGGCAGAGATGCAACATATAGATGGGCCCGTGACCGAGGGGTGGACTTAACAATGGACACTATTGCCCAGGTTATTCATGAGTGTGAAACATGTGCTGCAATTAAACAAGCCAAGCGGTTAAAGCCTCTTTGGTATGGAGGACGATGGTTGAAGTATAAATATGGGGAGGCCTGGCAGATTGACTATATCACACTGCCACCAACCCGCCAAGGCAAGCGCCATGTGCTTACCATGGTGGAAGCAACCACCGGGTGGCTGGAAACATACGCTGTGCCCCATGCCACTGCCCGGAACACCATCCTGGGCCTTGAGAAACAGATTTTGTGGCGACACGGCACCCCAGAGAGAATTGAGTCAGACAATGGGACTCATTTCCGGAATAACCTTATAGATATTTGGGCCAAAGAGCATGGCATTGAGTGGGTATATCACATCCCCTACCATGCACCAGCCTCTGGGAAAATCGAACGGTACAATGGGCTGTTAAAAACTACACTGAGAGCGATGGGTGGGGGAACTTTCAAGCATTGGGATACACATTTACCAAAGGCCACCTGGTTGGTCAACACCAGAGGATCTGCCAACAGGGCCGGCCCAGCCCAGTCAGAACTTTTACATATTGTAGAGGGGGACAAAGTTCCCGTGGTGCATATGAAGAATTTGCTGGGGAAGACAGTCTGGGTTATTCCTGCTTCAGGTAAAGGCAAACCCACTCGTGGGATTGCTTTTGCTCAGGGACCTGGATATACTTGGTGGGTAATGCGGGAAGATGGGGAAGTCCGATGTATACCTCAAGGGGATTTGATTTTAGGGGAAAACAGCCAGTGAACTCAATTGTATGCTGTTGCCTGCTGTGTAATGCTTTTATAGCCCATCAACTAGATGTCTCCAGGTCACCAGCGACTGGCCCTGACTTCCCTCCAGCCATCATCCCAACAGAGAATGAACTTGGAACATCATGGACCGAATGGACTCGGCAGCATTATAGGGATTGGTCCATGCACTAAGAAAATGATTTTTTTTCCTCTTGGTCTGTATGTATATGGATATATATATGTGGGAGAGCGATGGTGTATTGAAAATGTGGGATCTGAGCACGACGTGAATGGTATGGAATAAGGGGTGGATAATGTCCTGGGTTCAGCAGTAGCAGTCATGTTTCTCCTCCTTGGTAGCTGGTGCAGTGCAGTGTTTTGACTTTCAGCTCGGGAACAGAGCTGATGTTTTGGTTTGGCCAAGGACTTTGTGAGCCTCATGCTCTGCCTGGGAGGAGGGGAAGCCAGGAGGAAGCAGAGACAGGACACCTGACCCAAACTGACCAAAGAGGTATTCCATACCACAGCACGTCATGCCCAGGATGTAACTGGGAGTTAGCCGGAAGGGCTGAGAGACTGCAGGGTTGGAGGAGGTATCGGTCGGTGCTTGGTCGGGCTGGGGGGGGGGCGAGTTATCGGTTGGCTGGTGCTGAGGTGTTGTATTCTCTTCCCTTGTTATTTCCTTTATCATTATTATCATTGGTGGTAGCAGCAGTGATTTGTGTTATACCTTAGTTACTAAACTGTTCTTATCTCAACCCGTGGGAGTTGCATTCTTTTCGATTCTCCTCTCCGTCCCTCCGAGAGCAGGGGGAGGGCAAGAAAGGGGGGGAAGTGAGCGAACGAATTACCTGACTGGGTTTAAACCACGACAGACCCTGACTCAACAACCAGCCCACACTTGTATAACACGTCTCGTGCAGTGTCAGAACATCACCCTTGTTATTCCTACCCTAGGAGGTGAAGCACTGAGTAGCACATCTGCTCTGCTGATACTTTACAAAAAAGTGCTTCCATTTCATCACGACACAGGAGGACTTCAGCATGGACTCCTACTCCAGCTGAGTTCCTAAAGACAGCCTAGTACACTCATGTATTCACCCTAAGGCCCATTCCATACCTTCTCAAATACTGACATCCCCACCAACGCTCTTGACAGTATTTAAACCTACAGTTAATTCTATAATAATACATACAGGAGATTATTTTCTATTTGGAAAAACTACTGGTTGCTCTTTGTGAACAGGCAGAACTGAAACAGCTGCTGTCATGAATGACTATTATCTAATTATGTGTCATGCAGCAGATCTGCTCAGACATTTATGCACATGCTGAGCCTTGTGCATAAATTAGGAGCTTACAAGATGATCGTAATTCATGCAGTGTAAGTAAAATATTGCTCAAGCAAGACCAATATTAGCTTTTCTGTTCTGTGAGTCTTCTTACATATTACAAAAGCACAGAAACGGTCAATATTATCAAACCACAAAAACTTGTTTCAAACATGACAATGCTACACAACAGACCTTAGAGCATATGCTGAGTGTAAGATAACATAAAATCCTTAATGTACTAAACCATGCGTAGCAAGGTAATGCACCTTCCACACTGTAGACAGCAAAAATAACACCTCATGTTGTAAGAATTTGCTTATTATTGATGACTAATAAATTCCACTCAAAACATAACATTCTGTATCCAATGCAAAGAAAAGCCACTTGATGCAAAATAATTTTAAAATTGAGAAATAATAGTGCAGTGTAAAAGCATAATAACATCTGCCTTTTGAAAACTGCATCATTTATTAATGTGACATTAGCAGATATCTTTTTAATGCTAACTGTTTTGTCACAACAAAATATTTTAATAAGACTAACTACAAGGACAATTACAAATTCAGCAGCTGCTCTCTTATATGAACTGGGTAAAAAGCTGACAGATCCTTCAAGTATCAATACAGAGGTAATAAATATCAAGTTAAGAAAAGGAATTAAGTAGGTGTAAATTATAAACAATAGAATTCAAATAACCTAAAGATATTGAGAAGATGATTACATTTAGAAAATAAAACATAAATGTATGTTAATTGTATTTATGTTTATAATGAGATTGCTAATTTACTTCACAAAGCAGTTTTGCAAATTTAGTTTAGGACTTAAATAATAATAAAAAACCCATGTAGGTGCATAGCAAACAATTATTTTTGCAGAGTTGGAAGTTACAAAAAAAAAAAAAAATCCAAACAAACCAGGGAAGAAAACCAAGTAACATTTTATAGAGGTCATTTCACTCCCAAATTTATATAAATGCATACCACCTCTTACATGTAATCTACAAACGTGGGAGAGGGGAAGTTACCTGAGGACAAGGTATTCAGACAAAAGGCCCCTATTCCCGGTGAAAGCAAGTGGTCAGTTGCCACGGCTTCCGAGAAGCTTCTGGTACTCATTTTGGTAGTAAGGATATTCACAGCAAACCAATCTCCACCAGAGCCAGCTGGGATCGCTGCAGGGAATGGGACACAGGGGACACACAAGGGATCAAGTTCAAAGGGAAAAAGGAGTGATACAATAATGTAAGAGAGTTTTAGCTAAAGGTAACTGCAGTACAACAGTTTGTTACACGTCATGACATTGTAGAACTGAAAAAGAAACAGACTTGTGTAAAATGCTAGATTCCCATGAGAATATCCCTTGCTGTCTGATACAACATTGCAGCCATGGTTAAGCGAGCAGCTCATGGAGAAAATTTTAATCACGCAGAAAAAGCCTATATAATATAGTCAAGTGGTTTCAGAGATACTCAGGAAGTATATTTGGAATGTGAGAAGGAAGATAGCCTGGAGATACAGCATAAATAGGTTTTTATTTTATTTGGAAGTAGGAGATGACTTTTCAGTTTTGTTTTGCCTAGCCCAAGGTTTCCTCAAGCCCACATGGATTTCCATCCATGGAAGTGTTCAAGACTGGGCTGGAAGGGGCTTTGAGCACCCTGGTCTAGCGGAAGGTGTCCCTGCCTGTGGCAGGGGGGTTGGAACTAGATGATCTCTAAGGTGCCTTCCAACCCAAACCTTTCTATGATTCTGTATGATTCTATGATTAGCTCCTATTAAAGGTGTCTCAACTTCATCTATTCAAATTCATATTAAAGAAACATAACTCTACAGGCATAAGAGAACAGGACTTCTTGGATTTGTTTTTGTATTTGGGGCAGTGCTAAAAAGATCTGCACACACTTGACATTCTGATTTTGCAGGCTATGAAATTTTAGCACATTAAGCTTCTTAAAAATTAAAACTTAGAATCTTTAATTTGGGAAAATGTGGTAACCTTATTTTTTTTTTTTCATTAACTGTCCACTTTGAAAAGATGCTTCAGCCAAAATATAATTAATTCCCTTTGGCTACAGGAAAACACAAGCATTTGAGCAGTGCCCTTGGTGGGCAATATGCTGGGGTATCTGAGCAGCGTTTAAAAGATGTATCACTAAAATGAATTACAGATACCTTGTTACAAATTACTATTTTTTTCATGTTTCCAGATCCCCAGCAACGGGAGCAACTACAACATGAGAACTGTTCCAGACGTATGCAGCCCAAGTAATTTCCAGACTCCTGGGTAGCTGATCCCAAGGTTACTTTCTTGGGAGTCAGACAACAGAAGAAGCCAACTTCTCTGAGAAAATAGAAGCTCTGTCATTCTTAAGCTATATGGCAAGCTGCACGGCAGAGCTGCCACAAAATGTGTGCTGGGGGCATTCTTCACACAGGAAGGCTTGTACATCCATGCAGGGGAGCCTGGAAGTACTAAAAGCCGCAGCCCGAATTGAAGCTCTTTTCTTACTTTCTTCTCCTGCTTCTTTTCATGAAGAGAAGGGACAATGAAGAGATCTGAACCCTGATTCACCTGGTTTGTGGAACCAGCTCCACAAAGGTGTACAGAATGACTCCTGCAGGAGCTACTACTGCATGGTGAAACCTGGGTTCCCCTGCAAACAGCCAAAACCTTAGTAAGTTCTGTTATGACTTATTAGCAATTATTCTTATGATTTGCAAAATTCTGATTTTCACCAGAAATTATCTAATCTCCTTTGGCTAATCTGCTTGTAGAAGAAAGGAAAAAAAAAAAAAAAGACCAAACCAAAAATACACTTTAACAGGCACCTCTCACTCTGGAAGTTTAATACCTACTTTTATACCCACTTTTATACCCCTCTGTATATTTTATACCATTCTCTGTATTTAAGAAAACAAACACAACAAAAAAGACCACAAAACATCAAGGCTTCAGAAGGAGAAATAACAAATTTCAAAACATGTAACTGTAGGCTTTGTTTTTATTCTTACATACTCCATAATCATTTGAAAATAAGATACAACGTTATTACTCATAGGCTTTACTCAAACACCCTTTCTTCCTAAGAATGCTACACACCAGCATATCAGGTACTTGAACACAAAGCAATCTTCAAAATTATTTTTATTTTCAAACTTATTTCCCAGCAAAACTATTCTGAGAAATGTTTAAAGAAAATGATCCTATACTATACAAGTAAAATGCTGCTAATTCCCGTTGACACTGCAAATGCATTTTTATTTTGTGTAGATAAGAGTTATCTGACTTCAGCAAAGCTTCAGCAGAACTTTAATTGTACAAATAAAAAGTCTGCAGAATCAGCATCCAGATTTATAATACCTTTGCAACAATAATGTAATACAAACTGAAAACTAGAAATCAAATTCTGAGCATTTATTTTATTAACCCAAATGCTACTGAAAGCTTAAGACATCTTTCTGAGATGTAACACAAGATTTAATATTAAAACCTAATAAATGTAATGATTAAGAATTCTACCAGTAAATAAATTATTGCTCATTTATCTCCAAAATACATTTATAATTTCATAAAGCACCACAGCAATTTCAGTTTGGCCTTTTGGAAGATGTGCTGTTACAGAAGCTTAAAATGCAATACAATGCATGAAGCTACCAAAAAAAAAAAAAAAAAGAATGAGCTTTTTACTGTTGTTGAAAAAAAAAAGCACTTATTGATTTCCTTAAGATCATAGCATTACCAACACATTCCCACAGACAAAACTGTTGGCATGAAATTTCCACTTAAATACAAAAAATACCGAGTTACAAACAGAAGGGAATTTCAGAAATACAGGATTATTATGAAACTTTAAGTTGCTTTCTCCTCCTTCTCTTCTGCTGTCTCAAGCAGTTTGGCTTTACTACCTGTCCTTTTTCAAAGTCATTCTTTCACTAAGGGCAGCATCTAAAGATACCTATTAGATGAACACATTCCACAAGCATCCAGATTCTTCACAGATTCATTCAGAACAACACAGATTGTTAAGTCTACATTGTGTTTTGCAACTTTCCCACATACTACACAAGCCAACAAAGTCAGTCAGGTTGAATACACTCTGTAAAAATCTGAAGTACAAGCAAAGAGAGAAGCTGGTTTATGCTTATTCTAAGAAAAGTACACACTTTAATTTTGTGACAGCCAAAGAACACAAAGTGACATAGAAATGGAACATCTAAAACTGAAAATAAGCTAAAAAAATCTACTTCTTTTGCTACCAGCAGAAGTTTCAAAGCTCATCCAAATAATTTTAAGCATTCATTTACAGAACAAGCCCATTCTCGTCAAATAAGGTGTTATGCTGATAAATTGCTAAAAGGAGTCACCTCAGGTCTCTTCAGACAGCAATATCCCTCACCAAGCAGGCATGTCTTACTGGTGTAAAAGCACAGTGATATGAAGGTCAAATATTTAGGTAGGACATGTGTCAGTGCAGTTGTGCCAGATGATGTAGGTTATCACTGTTTACAGCAAAATCAGCTGATTTCTGATAGTCATGCCATTAGTATGCTATTCTTTGTAACACCACTTTTCATATGTGTTTTAGAATGACTTCCAACTATGAGGTGAAAAAAAGTTGTCACAATAGAAGAAAATTGCACTACATTTTAAAATCTTACTATTTTCACATCTATTGCTTCAGGTGAGCAAAAGAAAAGGTCTAAGTTCATGCAGAACGTTAACTTATGACACAAACTGAAAACAATTTAATTTCTGCCATATCAAACACTGTAAATCTTCTTACTGTTTTCTTTGTGAAAATAGCAAATAAGATTCAAAGAAAGTAAATTTAAAGCTTGAAACATGTAAAAATGAAATATGTATGAAAACACTGGTAAATTTAAGAGATAGTATCTAACAGATGAAGAATGTCAGTCAATGGAGCTACTTAACTCAATATAGACGCAAAGTTTGTAAACTTTCTTTCATGCTTCTCAAGATATATTTTGAGAAATAAAACTGTTTTTCACAGAGAGGCATGGATATTGCGGATTCTTACACAGAAGACTCAAGACTACACATTAACTAGAAAGGGAATTTCAGTCAGTGATACTAAAAGCCAAAACCACCTAACCTCTGTCAGTACCCACTCTGCAGTGGATGATCCCCTTATAATTACAGACAGCATACAGGAACACTACTGTGAACTTGCATAGTGCAATGCAGAGTCCCGGAAATTTTTAACACTATTGTTTCATACAGTTGTCTACAAAGTCTAACAGGAAAAAGAAGTAATGCTGAAGGCTATGTGCTTCTATCATAGCAGAGCAGTGCACAGAAAATCCTGCAATAAGCGCTGTTCAAGAAGAAATCTCTCACCTATGAAAACATGTAATCGCACATATGAAGATTCAACACAAGTTTCAGTCCACTGGGGAAGACCTTGACACTAAGTGATCCAAAGACTACACAGAAGACTCCTCAGTAGAGTATCTCATTCCTACCTTCATAAAAGATAAATGCCCCTACCCAGACAGACACTTGCTCCATTTTAGGGCACATATATTATGAAATAAAGACACTTCACCAATCACATTCACAAAAAAAAAAAACAACAAACAAAATAACCTGTCCTCACACAATACGGAGCTGACAAAAATTCAAGCCTCCAAATGACAAACTCATGTCTTCGGCTTCGCAGATATCATTGAGTTTCATATTCTACACCAAGCACCACATAATCTGAAGAACAACAAAAAAAATTTGTTTCTCTACTTCCCTCCCTCTCATTTTCTACCACAGCCTTGGAGAAGAGCAATGAATCTTGAACATAGAGGTCATAGCTTATATTTTAGAAGTTTTTAAAAGACTGAAAGCTAAAAATTTAGATCCTGACATGGGATACAGGTTTCTTACAAACTGAGTAAATAAACTCTATTACCTTCACAGTTCTTAAGACGCAATATAGAGAAAAACCTTTTGCAAAGGTAAAAGGTCATTTAGATAACAGAACTGTTCCAAAATTCAGTTTGGGTCTTCTTATTCTCAGACCTTAAAGACTCATACCTATGTAAAACTGTTCCCTAGCTAACAAACACAGAATGATAAGGCTCCTTACCAACATCAGTGTCCATAACAGTTCACCTAAAAGCACCGCAAACTGCTAAATGTGAACTACACTGCTGAATGACACAATGCTTTCAAATTTGCATACACAGTATCTAGACAGTAAGAAAACTGAAAATTGCTAACACACGAGTAACAGATATTTCAGGAACCTTCATAAACCAATGATTATTTGGAGGAGCTAGGTAAGATGACGTCCAGAAATCACTTCCAACCTCAACCATTCTAATATTCTGTGATTTGTGACAGAAAAGTACATACTTTCCTGTAACTGAGGGTACAGCCTCGCATCTTCTATTTGTTCTCTGAAGTACATATTAGATTTGGCTTTGCTCAAACACAAAGAGAAATACAATCATCAAAAATGAAAGGAAATTGAGATAAAAGAATGGAAAGACTTGTCCTGCTATTACATAGGGACTTCCCCCAGTACATTTTAATTCTGCTGCTAGTACCTGCTTTGTTGAAGATGGAAAACAAGCATTAGTTTAGAGGAGCTATGAAAACTGCAGAACAGGCACCAATATAGTTATAGAGTAGAAAGTGAAAGAGTCCTTTGGTATTAAAGGAAATTCCTTATGTACCTGGCTCCACACTAAAATGAAAGAGTGTGTGAAGCCTACCTTCCTTATGTTCTTATAAAACATATTAAAAAAAAAAATCTGAAAAAAAGCTAATTATCATATCTGTTGAAAAATCAAGTTCTTAAAATTTAAAAAGCCAACAGATTTACAGGTGCTCGTGTCACTTGAATTCTGTTTTCTTGCATAACCAACTTCTACAACCTCTGAAGCACCAGTTCCGCAGGAAGAAAAGATATTATCTGATCACATGATTAAGAACACCAGTAATAATGGGCTTAATAATAATAGTGTGTATATTTTATACAGCAAATACACTCAGTGTCAGCATAGTGTGGATCATGAGCCTCAACTTCAAACTGCACGCCTCAGATTGTGAGATATATCCCATGTCACTTTTTAAAAATGATTAAACTTGTCACAATCCTTTGATGTAGTCCAGTTGAACAAGCATTATCACATCACACAAGATAGGAAACACAAATCTGGCAGCTAATGCCAACTACTTTTTAAAAAAGTACTTAATCTATTCAGCTGTTCTAAAAACTTGACAAAAAACAGCTCATGTTACCATGCCTAGTTCACAGGCACACTGTAGACTCTAACTCTGTAGCACAGAGACTAGAGACCACATCTTTTCCATACAGCTTGCTCAGCAGTGCTATAGGAAGTGAGCTGTACCAGTTAATTAAGTCCAGTGATTCCAAGCACATTTCTGATTAGAAAACTGACTCAAGGCTGATGACATCTTTGTATTGCATTTCCATTCCCACAGTGCTCAGCTATTCTCCTGTGAAGACAAGATTTCTGTACCAGCATTCCCAGATACAAACCTCATGAGTAAGGTGGAGAAGAAACATTATTCTACTACAGCTTCATATGGCACCTTTAGCACATAGATATCGAAGGAATAGGAATGTCAGTTATATTTTCCCTGTGCATCATCCACAGATTAGTCAAATCAGAATTTTTCATTTCATTTAGGGTTTTTTCCTCTCTTTATTAGCATTGATGAAAATAAACACCTTTCAGAAATATCACACAAAAATAGATTAATACCTTTTAAAAAGGCAAATCAGGAACCAGTATTTCAGGTTGTATTTTTTTATATATAAAAGTAAGCTCTGAAGAGTAACAGCACTACGGTATCATGACAGATCAAGTACTTAATGTTTGGGTCGTTGGTTTTTTTTTTTTGTCTCTCTTTAGAAAAAGGGAGAAATGTAATGTGCCTTTTAAAAATGGTATCAATCAGACAGTACTTTCTCCAGTCTTTCTGTCTTTGAAGCACACGACACAGACAGCTACAAAAAAAAAAAATTTACATTCGGGGGTGTCGTTTGTTTTTTTGTTTGTTTTAACCCACGAGGTACGTTAGTTATCATTGCAGTCACCCAGAAAACGTGGAAGCTATTTCGTCCGGGCACAGGAACGCATCCTTTTGTTCGAGGGCCTCACCTGAGCCTGCAGGAGCTCAGCCGTGGCGCGCAGACCTGAGGGCACACGCTGAGCTCCCGCACTCCAAGGGAACGGGGACGGATAGTGCAAACACCGCCCCCTCTGAATTACGGCGGCGTTTGGGTTTTCCCCTTCTTTTTCCGCGCTGCTTCGCGCAACTTCTCGCCGCCACGGGCTGGTCGGGGAGGCACCCGGCGGGCCCCGTCAGCAGCCCCCGCCGAGGGGCTGCGCCGCAGGCGCCTCCCGGGACCTGCGAGCCCGCTGCCGCGGCAGCACCCGCCCGGCTCGGCTCGCTCGACGCCGTGCGGCGGGCTGCGGGGGTGGCACCGTCTGCCGGGCGAAAAGGCGACCAGAGCCCAGCTGTGACTCACTCGGTGACTCCGTTCTGCGCCAGCCAGGCCGAGCCCCCTCCTCGCCTCAGGCTGACACTGCCGGACAGCCCCTCCGCCACCAAGTCACCCCGAGGAGGCGGCTCCAGCTCCACCCTCCGCGGGCTGAAGGAAGCCCGGTACCCCCGCCCCTTCGCCAGGCCCCGTGGACCTTGGGACCGGGAGCTGCCACCGCCTGCCAGCCCCCACCTTCACCCTTCCCCCCGTAACAACCCTCAGCCCACCCGGAGCACGGCGCCCCACTGACCTGGAGAGATGCTTCAGGATCTGCTTCTTGATAATCCCCGCCATGGTTGTCTGCCGACCCACGCCCCTCACGACAACCAGCCGGGACCGGGGACGCGCCTCATCCCTCCGCCTCCCCCTGCCCGAGGCGGGGAGACCGCCGGGAGCGGAGCGGCTGTCTCCGCTTTCCCTCACTCAGCTCCCGCCGCCATCTTGACTGCAGCATCACCTAGTGACGGGGGGCGGTAACGGGGAGGGACGGAGCCGCAGCCACCACCCCACACAGGCGGGAGGGAGGCGGGGTAGGGGCTTTCACATCCTCCCGCTTGCTTACGGACCCCTCTGTCTGCGGCAGATTCCCTCAGTTCCCTCAGTACCCTCAGCCGCTGCTCGCCCCCGGTCGCACTGACCACTCTTTCTCGGCCGTCCTTTGCTAGCGTCTCCCCGCGTCCCCGCCTGTGGCTCCGTCCCTCCTCCCGCCTGTGGAGCGTGTCCCACGTGGGCCGGTTGTTATTTTTGTTGAAAATCTGTTAAAGTGCCACTAAAAGGCATTGTAGCAACAAGAACGATAACAAAAAATCTGGTTCTCGTATGTAGCGAGAGTTCCTTTTGATAAAATGCTTAGTTACCTACGTGCAGTAATACTTGGCATTAGTAGCTGCAGGTCGTGCTCCTCCCCGGTGATCTGCAGAGCTCACTCACAGAAACAATATTTAAAGTTACTTTATTTTTTTTCAGATAAACACCATTACTCTAGCTATGCTGTAATAAATTCACCTGATTAGCCAAGTGACACATTTGCCCTTTTTATACCACTGTTTCATAAGCAATATTAATTTCCAGCCAGAAAAAGTAATCCTCAAAGATGTTAACAGCTAGGACCCCCAAAATTATTCCCAAAGGATATTCCAAGAAAGCAAAGAAACCCAGAAGCAATAAATTCAACATCTATTCTTCCAGACGAAGGTGGAAGACTTGTTCAGGCAGCAAGCCCTGCCCAAAGAGCCACACGCCTTCTGATCTTGGTGGAGCTGAAAGCCAGGACGGCTGCTGTTCCTACAGCACCACAAAAAGGGAACAAGGTCAGATAAAAGAGAAGAAAAGCTTACTGACAAGACTTATAATGATATAACAATAAATTCATATGTATATACACATATATTTTTCCCTTAACCCAAATTGTTCAGCAATTACTCAAGCCCGCAAGCTTGTGAAATCAGGTGCTTACATTTCACTGGGTATCTGTGGCAAGTATAAAGCCAAGAAGTTATTTTAATTTTGAGATAACATCTCATGCTGTAGCAGCATTTTCAAGTCAATTAAAAAGCAAATATTTGGTATTAGTTTTGTTCATCAAGTAACCCTCTTCTTTAGGGGTCCCTCATTCAGAAAAGGTATCTTGGAGAATTTTAGTGGTGAGTAATCACATACCCTAGAAGTAGTATTAACTGGAAAAGAAGAAGAAGAAAAAAAAGCCCACAATTGTAAAACTAACAAGCTTTTCAGATGTGTCCTCTTTCTGAAGGGTGGTTTGCTACCTCTATAATATAACCTAGAGCTGCACAGGAAATCCAGCAGATATTATTTTCTTTGCTTCTCATATGCCTGACAGATTAATAATTTACATGCAATGAAACAAACCCCCAAGGACCCTTAAGCCAGAAATATGAAGCAGTAACAGAAAAAAAAAAAAAAAAAGGTCAGGAGAGGAACATTTTTGATTTTTCCAGGCATTTAGAAATCAGTCAGTCGTGTAATACTGACCTCATTATACTCTTTAAAGAGATTTAGAAAGTGGGAATGAGCTGTGTATGAAGCTAACATTTTTATTGCACCTTTGAGTTCAATTTTTCTCAACTAGTTAAAAAAAAAGAATCTACCAGCATCTTGGAGAAACTATTCAACATCATTATAGATCAGCTTCTCATCAAAGAAAATACATGGGGCAAGGAAAGCAGGACTCATGCTGTGTGTTCCCCTTCAAGTGTCCTGCAAGTGTAGGTCTGACAGAAAAAAAGGAAAGTCCAGAGGCTCTTCACTGACCTCAGAACTGGAAACCAGAAATATGCCTGTCTGGCAGGGTTGATCTGAATCGTGACCTTACGTCCTCCCATATCCTGGAGCACACTGAATAGAGGAATGGGGGGAGATGAACAGATCAACACCCCAGGGATTAGAAGGGCCTGTCATAAGAAGCCCAGTTTATCCCATAGTTTGAGCAGAGTATCTGACACTTCTATTTAGAGCCTTGTGCAATAGTATCAGGATAACCTGAGACTATGTTTATTAAGACTTTGGACTGATTCCCCAAATCGCAGTTGCATGTTTGTCAGCAAATGAATTTCTGTTAGGATATTCATGATAATTAGACCACCACTATATGAAGATGGTGCTTGATACAATGTCCCAGAGACTGACTTCTCCTTTGAAGAGAAGAAGAAGAATTTATAAAGAACCTGTGAGACTGTCATCAGTTGTTACCTTAATATGATAACTTTGTTGACTACTTTGCAATTATAAACATTGATATGTAGGATTCCTTCATCTAGCAACCAAAGCTCTTTGCTCTTGATTTACTAAAATGACTCCTCACCCAGTGAGGAGAAACTATGTCACAGAAGAAGAAAAGGGATGGATATAGTGGCAGATCATAACATAGAATCACATAGAATAGTTAGGATTGGAAAGGACCTCAAGATCATCCAGGCTTTCAGGTCTGCACACAGGGACACCCCTAACCCTAATCCTAACCCTAACCCTAAACCTATGTTACCCAAGGCTCTGTCCAACTTGGCCTTGAACACTGTCAGGGATGAAGCATTCACAGCTTCCCTGGACAACCCATTCCAGTGCCTCACCACCTTCACAGTAAAGAACTTCTTCCTTATATACAATCTAAACTTCCCCTGTTTAAGTTTGAACCCGTCAGTACAGTCCCTACTGAAGAGTCCCTCCCCAGCATCCCTATAGGCCCCCTTCAGACACTGGAAGGCTGCTATGAGGTCTCCATGCAGCTGCCTCTTCTCCAGGCTGAACAGCTCCAACTTTCTCAGCCTGTCTTCAAACGGGAGGTGCTCCAGTCCCCTGATCGTCCTCATGGCCCTCCTCTGGACTTGTTCCAACAGTTCCATGTCCTTTTTATGTTGAGGACACCAGAACTGTACACAATACTCCAAGTGGGATCTCATGGGAGCAGAGTAGAGGGGCAGGATCACCTCCTTCGACCTGCTGGTCATGCTCCTTTTGATGCAGCTCAGGATACGGTTGGCTTTCTGGGCTGCAAGAGCTCACTGAAGCTGGCTCATGTTAGGTTTCTCTTTGACCAACACCCCCAAGTCCTTCTCTGCAGGGCTGCTCTGAATCTCTTCTCTGCCCAACCTGTAGCTGTGCCTGGGATTGCTCTGACCCAGGTGTAGGACCTTGCACTTGGCATGGTTAAACTTCATAAGGTTGGCATCAGCTCACCTCACAAGCGTGTCAAGGTCCCTCTGGATGGCATTCCTTCCCTCCAGCGTACCAACTGAACGACACCAGCCTGGTGTCATAAGCAAACTTGCTGAGGGCGCACTCAATCCCACTGTCCATGTCACCGACAAAGATGTTGAACCAGACCAGTCCCAACACCAATCCCTGAGGGATACCACCAGTCTCCAGCTGGACATTGAGCCATTGACCACAGCTCTTTGTGTGTGGCCATCCAGCCACTTTATCCACCGAGTGGTCCACGTATCAAATTGATGTCTCTCCAATTTAGGGACAAGGATGTTGTGTGGGACAGTGTTGAATGCTTTGCACAAACCCAGGTAGATGACATTAACTGCTCTACCCCTGTCCATCAGTTCCGTAGCCCCATCATAGAAGGCCACCAAATTGGTCAGGCATGTATCGCAATGGGTCCTTGCGATCTGGATCCTGCTGACCTGGACCCCAACCCACCAGTTTTCCATGCTGGTGGTCCCCATGGACCTGCCTGGTGATGCCTGCACAATGTCTGGCCCTTTTCATCCCATCAGACCTGATCCTGACCCTGACTTGAGGATTGACCTGTGTGCTTGACTTCAGACCTGCTTATCATCACACACCTGCCTTATGAGCTGGGCTCTGGGCTGCCCTTCCCATCCCTACCTGCCTTGCTCCCTGGCTGGAGGCAGTGGGTTATGCTCTGGCTGGCCACAGCATCCCCCTCAGCTCCTGGCTTCCCTCCCTTACGAAGCAGCTGGCATCAAGAAAGAACCCCACTTCTGAGAGTATCCAGGATACTAAGAGGATCTCAAGAATAATTTTGGTTTGTATTTAACACATGTAATTTCTAGGGCCTATTTGTGAACACTTGCAATTGGATAGAAGACCCAAGAACCCAAGGATGTACAGAGTTTCCCATCAGGCAGTCATGTCATCCATCAGCCTGCCCTCCACCATCACATAAATGAGGAAGTGCGCATGGGGTTCAGGTGATGGATGCTAAGCCCAAGGTAACGTGCCCCTGTGTCAGGGTCAAAGAATGCAGTAACTTCTTCCTTAAGGGTAACTTTCTTTGGATGCTCTAGACAGCCTGCAAATTCTGTCACCGGCACCATTCAATCATCCTGAAGCTGCACGTTCCCACAGAGCAGAGCAAATAAGCATCTGTGTGCTTTGTATAGCATGTGCAGACAGAATTTGGCTTTTTATGTGGTCATGTGGATTTCTTAACTGTAAAAACTGTAATGGAGTTGAGAGGGGAAAAAAAGGCAACTACAAGAGCCCAAGTGACTTCATGAAACATGAATGTCACAGAATAACAAAATTACTGGTTTTCCCATTAAATAAAGCAGTAGGAAATGTGGAAAAAGAACAGATAAAATGTGACCTAAGAAGCTCTGATTTAATTTCAGTGAGTGCTTTGTTTCATACTTACAGAATAAGACAACCAGTATGGTCCTATGCAGATAATGCAAAAGATACCGCAAACGCACAAGATTCACATAATCTGACAGACCATTGCTCAAAGTTAAAGAGCATCACTAAGTATCAATTTTAAGCTCTTGTAAGGGGAAATGTATGAGGTTTGCTACCACCTGGACCTTTGAAAGTTCTATTCATGTTTCCTTGCTACATTACTGACTTTGTGACATACCTGTCAACAGCAACAGAAAATACTATCAGAAGTGTTACTGCAATATAGGAATGAGTACGTAAACAAACTCACTAAATATCTATGAGTTACCCTCAGTGAGCAATGACAGTAAATATACCAACTGTAGTTCCCAGAGATTTTAAATATTTATGTACATCAACCACTACACATAAATCTAAGTGAACTGTTAGAAGCCTGGTGCTTGTCCTGTGGGTCATTAAAAAGAAAAAAAAACCCCAACAAACCAAACCAGAGTACCTCTGAATTAAATTATATCAGATGAAGTCTCATAGAGCTGGAGTAAGTATCTGCAAGAGAAAAAGTAATCAAATTCTGGCTTTCTTCTTTATTTTTACAAGGCAAAAGTTAGCAATAGCTATGATTCCTTATGTCTAAATTATTCTTCTAAGAACTTACTATTATTAATAAAGTAAAAATTATGTGATTTAGGAACAATATTTTATATTTCTCCATAACACTGTGAATACCTAAAGCATTTATCAATTCTATGGTTTGCGTACTTTGGGGTTTAATTACAGAACCAAAATTGACTATTACTATACCTGTCAGTGGGTAAAGAAGGAGAGCAACCAACACTTTACAGTGTTCTTTAAAACAATGCATAAACTCCTGTACTGGAAAAACAGTATTTTATTAATTCCTGTGACCTGTCCCTAAAGAACCAGAGAATGCATCAGCTAGAGTGGGGATTAAGGAGGCTTCTCTTAAGACACTGACAAGCACATAAAGAGGATTGGTTGCAAAGCAGATTGCTGTGTGTTCTACTGAACATCCTGGCTCATAGGAAGACATTTGGTACTTGCTAGGGTTAAAGAGTCATCATACAGAGTTGCAGTTATTTTTAAGTTCTGGTATTTCCCAGAAAACAAATTACATACAGATACAATTACATACTTTAATGGAGTTTACATTTTATTGGATAACAACAAAGATACTAGTAATGATAAGTTAAAACATATAAATAAAATCATAAATCATAGAATGATTTCTTCCTGGAGCAAGCTCAGGGGGGACCTCATCACAGTATTCCAGTACAGTGGCTGCAATGATGATGGAGGCTCTTTCCTCACAAAAAGACAAGGGGCTAGAGGCATAAGTTGCACCAGGAGAGGTTTCATCTTGATACAAGAAACTTTTTATAGTAAGACCAACTAAGCACTGGAACAACCTCTCCAGGAAAGTGGTGAAGCCCCCATCACAGAAGTTTTTCATGACAGGTTGCTACATCATCTCACTTAGGCTCCCTTTTCCATGGAAAGCTGGACCAGATGATGTTCTGAGGTCCCTCCCAGCTCGGGCTGTTCTATGGTTCTATAAGGGTGTATGGTATTTGACACAGACTCCAGTATAACAAAACCTGCTCAGTGCCAGCGAACACCAGTAGCACAGGGGTTTATGCTAGTTAGAATTAGTGTTAATTACAGCAAAGTTAGAACAACAGTAAAACGACGATGATG